CCATTAAAGCTGATGCCCTTCCAAATATTGACAGTCATACTACGGTACTGTATCTCTGACAGAGAATATTGCCATATGAAATATTAAAGGAAGTCATCTTTTACATCATCATTGGTAAAAAAAAACTAAGATATTTGATTATCTAATCTTGTATAGGTTAAGCCACATTAGGACAAACGTTAAATCATGATATAATTATACTAATCTGCTATGTATGATATAATAAGTATCAAAGGCAAGGCTCCTCACCCCAGGATTGAGAAACTTGTCCAGACTTTTGTGCAGCAAGGCTTGGTTGGAGTGGTTGCCCAGACAGAACATCTGCAAGAACTTGTGAGCAAGACGCATGATCTCATGCATGCGTGTGTCTGCACTCTGGAAAACACAAATACGGCATCTGAGTTTTTAATCTCCAAATTAACTTATCTTTTAATTTCAAACCACTCTTTTTGTTTTGATCATGTTCTTTCATGAAATAAAATGAAGTTTGCTGAGTAAACATAGAAAGCCTGGAGGACAAAAACAAGTAAGCAGATGATGGAAAGGGAATCCAAATATTTCATCAACATCATGATAAACCATTTATTAATGGAAGACACCTATTTCCTGGGTGGTATGTTCTACCTTCTCATAGGATATGTTCTACCTTCTTATAGGATATGTTCTACCTTTTCATAGGATATGTTCTACCTTTTCATAGGATATGTTCTACCTTCTCATAGGATATGTTTTACCTTCTCATAGGATATGTTCTACCTTCTCTTAGGGAAGGTTCTATCTTCTCTTAGGTTGTTTTCTACCTTCTGTTGGGGTATGTTCTACCTTCTCTTAGGGTATGTTCTACCTTCTCTCANTCAGAAGAAAAAGACTTTTATTAAGTGGTACAAAACGACCGGTTTTCATCTAACAACAACATCCTTCATACAGCAACTCCACAAAGATGTTTTGTGTTCCATTTTTCCTTTTCTTAAACCTTACAAAAGCTTCATATTAATCCATGAACTGGGCTTGTATTTCTCACATCAGTAGATACAGATATTAAAACAACTGAGGTGCCTTATCTCACAGTGGCTAAATATGGCAGCTCAGCAGATACCCACCTCCTTGATGGTCTTGTAGTTATGGGAGGCACTGGAGTCAATGGGAGGACCTATGTCTAGATCAATGGCAGAACCCTTCTCATGAGCCAAACCCTACACAAAGTGGAATGTCATATCATCAAACATACATTGCCTGATAATCCATTTTTCTGAACTATGTATGAGCTATGGTATTAAAATCAATGCCATGCTCTGTAAAGAAGTTATATAGCTGGTCTAAATTTTTAATATGCCATATAAAGGACATTTCAGGGTCACCTGTATACATGCTCCAGCAATATAGGTCTTTGGACCAACCCAACTTTTAAAAAATTTAAATATATCAAAACAAGCACAAAGGTATTACTATTATATATCTGTTTCCTACCAAACTAGGTGTTTTCTTCTCATCTTTTTTCTCCTTAGACTCTCCACTGCCTTTCTCCTCCTAAAACATCAGAAAACAACAAGTAATGCAGAGAACTACAGCTTGGTCTGTTTCTGCAGATAGTATTATTTACAACATAACAACTCCAGCCTTGTCCTGAGCTAGAATGTACTTCTCCACTATATTCTGAACACAGGGGAAGGGAAATTATACAACAGAACTGTTATGTAGGCTTAAATGTTGATTTATCACTTGACTGACAGAAAGTTTTGGTCAGTGAAGGTGCCCTTGAACCATGGTTTCACAGCTCAATAATATGAGTCTATACTGAACCTGAGAGTCCTCAGAGGGTCCAGACCCCTTGCCTTTCTTCTTCTTCTTACTGGAAGTTGTGCTATGAGAACCAGCATCATCATCATCATTCTGCTTGGTCTTGTACACCCAGAGCTCAGATTTCTCCACCAGGAGGCGCAGTTCATCAAGGTCTGTCTTGATCTGCTTGTAGTTCTCTACATCCCCTGCTGAGACCAGGAGCTGCACCTGGGGGGCAAAGGTCAGAGGTCAACCAACAATTACAACAAAATGCTACATAACAATCAGATGCAGTGTTAAATTTCACTTACTTTGTTCCTCCTCTTTTTCCAGAGCTGAAATGTTACAAGTGAAGTGTAAACATAATTCTTACCTGTTTAAAGGCCTGCAGGACCTCCTGTCTCTGGCTGAAGTGTCTGAAGAGCAGCTGGAGGGACCCTGACACCAGGGACGGGTAGTTGTGCATCACCAAGTTGAGAAGGACTCTTAGGAACATACGGCCACCTTGACCATCCAGGTCCAGCTCTGCTGCCTCAGCACTGAAACCAGGCCACAAACAACACATTGTTTATATGATAACACTGGAATCATGACTGAAGCCAAACCTACTCCAAATCACAAATTACTTCTGGTTTAAGATGAAAATAAACCACAGATATGATTATTGGTTGGATAAAATGTAAAAGATCAATTGCAAACTGATTATTTAAGTCTGCATATGATAGATTATGCAAAAATAACACGAGGATTAAAATCACAGTAAGTTTTTTAGCATTTTAATTTTTTTTCATTGAATGATAAAATGTCCCCCGTCTGCTTATGTAATACAGCCTCATGGGGAGTGACGCATTGTGGGCTGATCTAGATGCACATCTTATAAACAAACATGTCATCATTAGTAAAAGACTTCTATTTTATTTTCACCATAATAAATATGATTTCAACTTCCAAACTACTGTGTCACTGACCTCCCTCCAAAGATGTCTTCAGCCTGTGTCCCAATGGTCTCCAGGTCCAACCCTAAACAAATACAGACTGCCATTATGTCATGAATACCACCTGGCTTCTTACATGGCATTTACAATATTGTCATCAAACAATGGTCTGTAGACTGATAAATCCTACTAGTATATCAGATTTTATACAAATATATTAATATTGAGGGATATTCTTTAGGTAACTCTGCTATTAATAATTAAAAACACTCACATACATACGTAGTGCTTTTCTGATAAATTGCTGAAAGACATTTCTCAAAAAAAAAAAAAATGACAAGTAGAACAAATTTGCATGGCTATGTCTTTTAGTAAATATATCAACTCACAGCATTGTGTTCTTACAAACTGTTAAAGTGACCATATAAAAGGATAACAGGAATGCAGATTTAGTTTCTACCACTTCAGTTTAGGAAAGCTAAACATTTGTAGTCAGAATTAAAGTAAGTTTGGTTAAACACTCAAGGCAGAGAGTCACAGTTGACACGTATAACATCAGAGAGACTACAAGGTACTACTTCACTTCAGGATAACAGAACAAAGTGAGGAGATACAAGGCAATGTTATTTTCAAACATCTGAAGGACAACAAACTTAGCTTGTAAATGAAGCTAGCATCTTAGAATGTTTAGTAATAGGAAATGTTCATCAGTACAGAGTTCTGGATAAAGGTTAGGCAAGCTTAGAATGTTTCCTGCTAAGACTGAGATTGTACATGTACATCAAGAAACAGACTTCATGAAGAACTGAGGGTCGGAAACAGTATTTTGTACTTGAAACTTATTTCTCAAATTCTAATATGTTCTTGAATTTGGACTTAACAACAAATGTAGCATGCAAGAAAAAATCTGACAGCACTTTTAATACATTTATATCATTCCTTTTAAATTATACACAAAATAAACTTTAATACTTTAAATTATATACTTCACCACATACTTCACATGGCAACATAATATAAACTTTAATACTTTCCATGCTCCAAACCCCTACAAGAAGACAAATCATACAAACCTAGCAATTATTGCATTTTGTCCAATTTTTTTTTTCTGTTTGTTTTCTTTCATTTTATTCCAATTTTCTTCACAGTTATATTTTCATTTGGTATCAAATGGCTTTCAGTAGTCAAAAGATCTTGTACAATGTACATTTCCTCAATAAACAAAATGACATATATATATATATATATATATATATATATATATATATATATATATATATATATATATATATATATATATATATATATATATATATATATATACAGGAGACTGTGAAAGAGTGAAAGAAAAACAAAAGGCAGTCTTTACAAATCCTCAGCTGAGTTGAAACATGGAAAATAAGTATGGGGTGAATTTGTTATTCTTAAGAAAATGAATACAAACTGTTTGGGTGAGCAGCCATAACTAAGGGTACCAATGTGAAGTTTGCACCTTACTGAAGTGATGATCAGGGATGTCAGATTTCCACCAGGTCACCAAGGTCTTTTAACCAGCTTTATTTGGGCAAATATTTCTAGGTAGTAACACATCAAAGAATGCAACTGAGTTTTGTTGGATATATATAATGTGGTAAACATCCCAATTGTACAAACTAAGAACCAGGTGGTCTTTTCTTCTCTCTGTACTGACATTAGGTCTAATAGTACTATTAATATAGAAGCTTTCACTGAGAAATGAGTTAAAAATAGTGAAATAGATGTTAAGGATGATAAAAGGCAAACTTCATTCTTCATCATAGTCTTTTCACGGTCTTTTCCATTTTGTAAATCTCAAACAACCCTTGCTTTTTTAATTGACATGTTTCATGTACTCAGACACAATCTGACCAGATGGCATTGCCCTGCTGCTTACATGCCCTAAACAGTTTCTGAGTCTCTCAGTGAAAGAGAACCCCACCTGCCTGAACTAATCTAAAGAGGGTGACCCAATGGAAAGAGAACCCCACCTGAACTCATCCATGGAAGGCTGACCAAATGGAAAGAGAACCCCACCTGAACTCATCTATGGAGAGTGACCCAATGGAAAGAGAACCCCACCTGAACTCATCTATGGAGAGTGACCCAATGGAAAGAGAACCCCACCTGAACTCATCTATGGAGAGTGACCCAATGGAAAGAGAACCCCACCTGAACTCATCTCACCCATAGGAGGCTGCAAACTTATCTATTACTTTTGGCAGACATGGTTCCAAATTATGTCACCCAAACTGATGAGGCTGGCTGCATTCAACTGTGAACATTTTAACTGTTTTCCTGTGTAAATACAACCTCTCACCACTGGGTTAAACAAACTTATACAAACAAGTATTAAGAAATTTATAAAATATATTATATGATTAAGAAACAAGAGCAGAAATAGAAGAGAGACATACAGGATTTCTGTGTCTGCAGGATATAAAGATCCCTGTCATCTGAGGCGTGTTCCTGATTCAGTTTCTCAAAGGCCTCTTTGAAGACACTGAGCAGACTAGTTATATAGTAGTCCAGACGGACATTCAAAATAAACTGAAAAAAAGAGGAAACTAACTACAACACCATAATCATACTGCCATCATGTCATGGCAGTAAAGAGTGCAAAGGTTGGAGAGGGATGTGAGAGATAAAAGCAATAATCACTGCAGTTCTGCCTCAATGCACTGGCTTCATGTTACTGTAGTCAGGGCACGGACAGTAAAATGACCCCAGCAAAGATAGATTTGTGTTCTCAGTGGTGTCTATAGCTTTAGGACCTCTGTTATAGATATATCACAAAACAAGTAACAGTTGAACTTTATAGCCAAAACTTAAAACTAAGTTTGCAGGTTTTGGTGAAAATTCTGTGTTTCTCTTAAAGCCAAGAATAATTTTTTGTTATCTGCCAATTTTCTATAAAAACAGGTTCCTTAAGATGCAGAAACCAAAGATTTAAAACTAAATCCAACCATGCAAGTGCACTATTTGCCAGTCACTTCATTTTTCATATATTTCATATAAAATCTTTTTCCAAGGCCTGTTAGAACTGATAAGCTGTTCTATCATACCTTTTCTGTACTGACAGCTAAGAAATCAAAAAAAGTTGGACTTGTTCTTTTCAGAAATCTTATGAGATTCTTTTTTTTTTCAGAAATTATCAGCAAGAATTATTGAAGAATTTATTTACAAAAAATAAAGTGACAAACAACAAAGTCACATTCATAGTGCTAGGATATTGGTAATCAGTTAAAGATCATGTTAGTCAGTTCACACTGCTGCAATGAGGATGCTATGAGACATAGTGAACATATTAGCCCATGCTACATGCAGATAGTTATCCCAGGATTATATGTTAATCTACAGTGCTCAAACCTCTGGTGCTACCACTAATACCACTAGTACCACCTAGAGTGCAACACACAGCAGCAATCACTCTCCAGGTGGTCATTTACCCTCTCCAGTCTTCTCTGTGGCATTGTTCTCATCAAACTCCCGTTTGAAGATGGTCAGAAGACTTGAAATACGATAATCCAGGCGCACGTTCAATATGAACTACAAGGCAAAATCTTCAGGTTATTGGCCTGTGTCTGGCATGCAAGAACATGCTGTTAGATGAAATACAAATGTTGTTGATACAAACCTTCATCTACAGAATAAATATTGTAGTATGTAAAGTGTACGCGTGTATGTGTGTGTGCATCCTTGTGTTGTATGTCAGAACCACACAAGGTTATTATAATTCTGGAGAAATCTGCTGTGTTCTAATTGATCAAAATTATATTTCTATAAAATGAAAGGGAATAATTTTATAACAACGACAGATTTAACTTCAAAACCAATGTTATACCCTACACAGATTCAGACTAAAATCTCTACAGCTACTTTGCTGCTATCTACATTTACATCATAACAATATTACTAACAATATAACAAATGCCTTCCAAATGTATATGTCAATAAACTACTCTATCTACTCAATTATGACAAAAGTGCCATTTACACTGAGAACAGACCCACTCTCTCTCTCTCTCTCTCTCTCTCTCTCTCTCTCTCTCTCTGAAGGCCATCTGACTAAGCTAGCTTTAGTCTCAATACAGAGTGGAGGCAACCCCTCCCTAGTAACAGCTATCCCATTGCTGGGCATGGAACCCACTGACTTAAGAACTCATTCAGAAGGCCTTCAGAGAAGAAGAATTATACCATGAAGGGTAGACCTATCTTCAGTGCAAATATGACTAAAACCTACACTTCAAAAGTTATGGCTTAAACTGTGACACAGAACATCTTCAGCACATACTCTTAGAAGAATACTCACTTTCTCAGAGTATGAGTTTCTACTTTACATTTTAGCCAAGTTACTTAATTTGTAAAATGATTAAAACAAAATTAAAAGTATATATATATATAGAAAAGCAATGCTCACACATATTATACGATTAATTTTAAACAAAACCAATATTAGTAAAAAATTAAATTAAAGAAAAAGGTTTTCTCACACTTTTATGATCTAAAAACATAAAGTTCAACAACAGCAACAAAAGCATGTGATCAAAAATCAAACAAAATCATCAATTAGTGATCAGTGCGCTGGGCAAAACAAGGAGATGCGATGATAAACGAATCTTATGACCTCCATTTCTTGACAGCTTTGTTATCAAGTAGAATACAATGCAGCGCAGCTAGCAAAAGCCATCTCATTGCCTCCCAAATGAAAATATTTTTCATACCACTCAGGCTTCAATGTGGCAATAGTGAACAAAAACATTGTGAATAACATTTAATATTTCATTTTCTCAATTTCCAAGTGAATCATGTTCACATCTGGGGAACTTAATTCCAAATAAAAGAAAGAACACCAACTTGTGTGACTTGTGTGATTGATAATTAACTATAATCTAACTGAGAAGTTCCCACACACACCTGTAGTATTTCTATGATCTTCAGTTTGGTGTCCATCACCATGGTATCCTCCTTCTCCTGCTTCTTAGTCTTAGCTTCTGCCAGCTCTCCACTCTTGGCTATCAAATTGGACACCACTGCACTCATTGAGGTCTTCTTAGCTGGAAAGAAAGATTTACTCCATCTTTTCAATGGGATAAATTGCGAATTTTCCAGCTACTACATTTTTAAGTCATAAGATGTTATAATTAGAATGTTCCTGTTAATTGGTAGCAATAAAATTAAAAAGCAGGCTACTCCATAGTTGTGTTCTATGCAATAAAAGCACCACAAATGCTAAACAGATATTTTTGTGATCATAAAATTATTTATCTGAAACTTTCAAAATTTTTACCAATTGAAAAGATTAATTCATTACAGAATACAAAAATGATAAAGGCTGAAATCAAATGAGACCATACTTCCACTGACTAGAAATTTCATAACACAAGCATGAATAACAATATGGTATTTTCATGCGCCTGAACTAAACTGACCATCAATTGAAGTAATTTTGCTTTCTCCAGTTGTCTCAGGCACAGCGTCCAAAATGGCGAGCAAAGTCTTTGTCAGACGCAGCAAGTCACTGAAGGAGTAGAAGCCAAAGTAGATGAGATGGCGCGCCAAGTTCACCACCTGAAAGAAATTTGGCATTTGTGAATCAAAATAATTGGAAAAGAGATGAAACAGAAACAATATTTTTATTTTGATACATGTTCTTGATAATCACTCTTTCACTTTCTCTCCCTCACTTCCATGTATAATTATTTAACTTAAAACTATTCCTTCAACTCAAATTCTAAACACTGTTATTATTTGAAACCTACTGCTTTCTGCATCAATGCCAAGGTTAAACACAATATAAAGCAGTTCTGGATCAAAACCAAGAATTCAGTAGAAGATTAAGTTAAACCACGGCTAGCACATAGAACAAAAGACTTGGCCATGCTGTATTCGACATACAAGCACGTCATGTACGAGTGCGTTCCACAGTCTGTTGCACTCCTGTTACTCATTAGTGTAGTAGCCAATCAGAGGCCGTGATAAGTTTAAGCCAGATACAACACTCTTTGCCGAGCTGTATGTGAAAATTACTCGTGTATTGTCTCGCCTGCGGCTTGCCAATACACTCATTATATTTCACGTACAACTCGGCGACTCGTATTGTATCTACCACTTAAAGCTGAGTCCACCTACTTCAAAGGTCAGTTTATTCTGCTCTTTGTCCACAAATGACCAAGAATGGCTGACCACATTACACAGGTAATCCTCCACAAAGGAGATAGTCCCTGCAAACTTGGTTTTCACACTCTCCTTTCCCGTCTCCTGACTTGTGTGGGACTCATAACTAGAGAGGACACATAGCATCATATCATAATTAATAATTAAACATTCAAGAAATATTTCATAATTATTAATAATAAAAAAAAATTATCAAGCTGGCCTACATGAAAGGCTCTCATCATCAAATCATTTTGCTTGATGAACTGGTCCTTCTAAAGACAATATATAACTTACTACCCTGCTTCCTTCACTATTTCATATTTAATTATTATATATATATATATTATATATATAATTATTATACCTACTCCTTTAGTGACATTATTTGTGCACTATGTATATACTATTTTCATTTTAGATGGAGTTTCATAGGGTAAAATATGTTAAAGCGAAATATATAAATATGTACCACAGCATACAAACATACCATGAGCATAATTTTCTGACTTAATTCTTCAAAAAAGTACTAGTAAAACTGGTGCCAGTACATCAACAATGATTTGAATATCCTTTTATAAAATTATTCCATCGAACAAATATTTAACATATTCTTCAAAATGTTTCAATATGTTAGCATTTATTCAATTTTGTATTTGTTTTTTTCTCATGCAAAAACAAAAGGTAGAACATGGAAATTTACATTGTTTCCATTTTTGTAGCATAAAAGATTGAAATTAGATCAGTAATCATAAACAATCCTCTACCATGCACTACACAAAGAAAACCTAAAAGATGGTTAACACTTATACATGCACAAAAAATCCATTTAGCATGAATGTCTTTAACTGTACTCTTTGCTGAACATCACAACTTGCTTTAATCAAAATAAACTGTTACATAAAATCTGTCAAGCACGTCCAAAGACTTGGGAGGCAAATTATTCGCTTAAAAATAAACATTCATGTCTGATACACACTACATAGCATTAAGACATCATGTAATGAATACATTGACCAAAACTGTTTTAGTAATGAGTTTAAACAAAAACATCAAAACTCATGATATTGCCCGGCAGTCTATTACTACATAATTTGGTGCCCATTTTGTTCAGTACAAACATTGCAGTTGCGATTCAATTTGAAATGAGCAAAATTCCAAACTTTTTATCACCAGATAAATATCAAATTTTCTTCAGATCTATCATTATGGTTTGAAAAGAGCCAATAATTCACCCCCTTTGCCTTACAGATATAAAAAGAAAAGATTCCATTGACCTCCACTGCCCCAGACACAGCCACTGAGAGCAAGATGGTTTACAGCACTTGACCAACACATGGAAGTTTATAAAACTTACAAACTTCAGTCTTCACATAAACCATCAAATTTATCTCCAAACTGAAAGTGCTCTGTTAGATAAAAACTAAGAACCTGCAAAATTGTGCATTTGACATTCATCACAGCTCCTCAATTGCCCGTGTCTGGGAGGTAAGGGTTTAATTCATAATAACATGGTAAATTCCTACACATTTTCCTAGAAATTATGCATAGTAAATCATTGATTGACAGATCTTATACTGTAGATACAAAAGAATTTAATTGACTACCACTAAAAGTTCACAAAAATTGAAATGGTCTAAATGTTGAAGCAACAAAAAAATATAAAAAGTGGACATAAAGAAACAATCATAGCAGGATTTTAGTACCCTTGAAGAATTCTGAAATTGAACAGGAAAAATACAATTTCTTGAGACTTGAAATATGAACACTAATAAATGTTGTAAAAAGTATTTTTAAATAAGCTTAGAATTTAAAAATGTAGCTGTAACTTCATTGTAGCATAAGATCCCAAAAACTGTCTCCCTTTATAAGTAACGACCCCATAGTTAAGGTTAAAATGAATATTTTCAACCTACATATTTACACACATACAATAACCAGTATTAGTATCATAAATACACAAAATTACATTATTTTATATATAAATAACAATATTCCTAAATGATAATCAATACATTGTTTTCAGCTGTGAAACAACATCTACCAAGGGTTCTAACAAACTCTTACAGTTGGTTTCATTAAAGCAGACCACAACTTTATTATACCATCTTAACACCTCCTCTTCTGAAATCTTATTTAACTAGAGGATCAGAGAGGCGATACCGNATTTAATCAAAATAAACATGTTACATAAAATCTGTCAAGCACGTCCAAAGACTTGGGAGGCAAATTATTCGCTTAAAAATAAACATTCATGTCTGATACACACTACATAGCATTAAGACATCATGTAATGAATACATTGACCAAAACTGTTTTAGTAATGAGTTTAAACAAAAACATCAAAACTCATGATATTGCCCGGCAGTCTATTACTACATAATTTGGTGCCCATTTTGTTCAGTACAAACATTGCAGTTGCGATTCAATTTGAAATGAGCAAAATTCCAAACTTTTTATCACCAGATAAATATCAAATTTTCTTCAGATCTATCATTATGGTTTGAAAAGAGCCAATAATTCACCCCCTTTGCCTTACAGATATAAAAAGAAAAGATTCCATTGACCTCCACTGCCCCAGACACAGCCACTGAGAGCAAGATGGTTTACAGCACTCGACCAACACATGGAAGTTTATAAAACTTACAAACTTCAGTCTTCACATAAACCATCAAATTTATCTCCAAACTGAAAGTGCTCTGTTAGATAAAAACTAAGAACCTGCAAAATTGTGCATTTGACATTCATCACAGCTCCTCCATTGCCCGTGTCTGGGAGGTAAGGGTTTATTTCATAATAACATGGTAAATTCCTACACATTTTCCTAGAAATTATGCATAGTAAATCATTGATTGACAGATCTTATACTGTAGATACAAAAGAATTTAATTGACTACCACTAAAAGTTCACAAAAATTGAAATGGTCTAAATGTTGAAGCAACAAAAAAAATATAAAAAGTGGACATAAAGAAACAATCATAGCAGGATTTTAGTACCCTTGAAGAATTCTGAAATTGAACAGGAAAAATACAATTTCTTGAGACTTGAAATATGAACACTAATAAATGTTGTAAAAAGTATTTTTAAATAAGCTAAGAGTTTTAAAAATGTAGCTGTAACTTCATTGTAGCATAAGATCCCAAAAACGGTCTCCCTTTACAAGTAACGACCCCATAGTTAAGGTTAAAATGAATATTTTCAACCTACATATTTACACACATACAATAACCAGTATTAGTATCATAAATACACAAAATTACATTATTTTATATATAAATAACAATTTTCCTAAATGATAATCAATACATTGTTTTCAGCTGTGAAACAACATCTACCAAGGGTTCTAACAAACTCTTACAGTTGGTTTCATTAAAGCAGACCACAACTTTATTATACCATCTTAACACCTCCTCTTCTGAAATCTTATTTAATAATAAAGACAGACCAGATGAGAGGAATGGATCACTTACTCATCAATGGAGATAGCAGTGGGGATCTCCGACCAAAGCCGTGCGTATTTCACTGGGGTCACCTGCTCCTGTGGGTCACGATCAACATGCATGTGCAGCATGAGCCGACAAAACGAAGCACGCAGTTCATAAGGAAGGACTTCATCTGCCATACATCTATTTTGTAAAATAAACACATCAATAGCTACAGCTGCAAGTGCCCTTGTGTTTCATTTGTTTCAGGATTATCTTGAAAATATGATACTAATACTAGAACACAAATACTGTTTGCAAATGCACGTCATCAACAATCATAGAATTTTTCTACCGTGTGACATCTATTTTATTTTAATATATTTTAAATATGTATTCAAAAATCAAATATTAATATGCATGTTTTTAAAAACTTTCTCCATCTTATTGGTATCCAGTGCTGTTTTGAGATCCCCTGAAAGTGCCCCGTGTCCTCCTCACCTTAAAATGAGATCAATGTCCAGCTGTGGTGACAGAATGTTGATGGCCAGGTACTGGCGGTCAAGACACATGTGGGAGAACAGGTCCAACTGATACCTAAGGTCAAAACAAACANCAGACACCATGACATAGACAACAAGACAAAGAGACCATGACATACTATGCTACACAGCAGAGTCATAAGGTGGTTTATTGAGGAAATACCTCCTTTTTTTTTAACTCTTCCTCTGCTTAATCTGAAGTACTTTTACATAACCACACAATGCCAAAGATTTCTCCTGACAGCTGCCCTGGGAAGCAAAACAACCCAAATTGAACTTTGGCATGGGAGTTAACTCTAATACTTAAAGTATGCTTAGTGTGCTAACCTAATATAATGTCACTGAAATTAGGGAAAAAGACAAAATGCCAGAATGATCTATCTACTGAATGTAATTTAGGCTATGGAGTTCACCCCCTTTGTATGATGGCAGCACTCACTTGGTCTGTATGAGGATGTCAGCATTCTTAGGACTGAGCACAGACTTGCAGATCAGTTCCTGCGTCACTGGAATGGCCACATGGTTGGACACACAAAGGTCTGCCAGGTAGTCCAGAAACCTGGGGAGAGGAGGAGGAAAAATAATAACAGCCATATCATTAAACACAGCATTAAATCATACTATTGCATTCTGACTTATGGATTTTGTGTAATAAATACATGTCCCCTTTAATAACAGTTTTTTTTCTTTAGTGTTTTTTTTTACCATGGAAAGGCCTTTATATCTTGCTGGTGTTGAATAAAATAATACTGGCCTTAATAAAAGCGAAAACAGTCTGAAAGAAATGTAATGTAATAGACTGTAATTTTCTGCACACAATGCAAACATAACTTGAGCTTGCAGAGTCACATAAAACCTGGAGAATGGCAAAATTATAACAGTAAAGGGTTTGTTTGAAGACATGCAAATACCTTTAATGTCAGTTTAAATGACACATTTGTCTACTGATAAAAAAACATAATTTGACAAATTAACTCCACACCTGCACTCTTTATTTTTCCTGACCAAGTTGACAAAAGTCTCAATTTCGGACCCTGTGATGTGTTTCTCCAGTAACTTCCTGTTGTTGTGAAGGAGTGCAGTAATAGTATCCTCTGCTAGGACACCATAGCCTATCTGCTTCTGCATGAATGGAAACTGCTTGGCAATGTACTCCTAAGGGAATTGATAAATAACTATGTCAATGGTAGACAGTAATAGATTAAAAAATGTTTTCATTGTAGACAAACAAGTTTCAAAGTGATTTACCCACTGTTCTAATATCACCAGTCTGAATGTTTTATGTTGTTAACAGAACTGTTCATAAAATCAAATGCTACTGTGACCACCAATTAAATTTTGAACATAACTGTGTCCATATCAACTTCTTAAATGGATATATAACAACAGGAACATCCTGTGTCCTTATATCATCACACCATGTTTGATATTAGACCTGATTTTTCCTGTAACTCTGCTGGGAAAGTTTGAGGATCCTGTAGCAGAGACAGCAGATGTGGCGGAAAGGAGCATGCCGTTTGTCTGCCAGCTCCTCCATCTTCAACAAGGGGCCTTCACTGCCCTCTATAAATGGAGCTTGAAGGATCTTGAACACCTACGCATATGACAAAGAGAAGAGTCAAAATGTCTACCTGATAATATTTTCATAGCTCTTGTATGACACTGCATAATAATATAAGATTAACATTCTTTCATAACATCATTAAAAATAACTTTAAAATATCATTACTTGAAGAATTTTTAACATCTCATATTCAACTCACTTAAAAATGAATAAGTATAGTTCTTTCTTTCTTTCTTCATGATAAATCCTTTGAAAAAGTAACCAATCACCTGTTTGAGAATATTCTGCTCTCTGAGCAGCTTCTGTCTCTCTCTATCGGGGACAATAAAGTCGTATTCCAGGGGGTCCCCTCCAGTGGTGTTCTCTTGATAGGCCACAAAGAAGATCAGGTCATGGAGGAGCTGGGTCACGCATCTGAGAAATGGAAGAAATCAGAAGTCTTATGAGACTGGCTGCACTGGCTCCAGGCCCGTAGCCAGCATTTTCAAAAGGGGGGTTCTTTTTCTGAAAAAGTGGACCTTTTTCCATTAAAACTTCATGTACCTAGATCAAATTTCACCCAGAGTGGACCTTTTTCCAGCAAAAGGGGCGGTTCTTTCGAACCCCCCGAACCCCCCCTGGCTACGGGCCTGGGCTCTCTAAGTTCTCACTAAATAATAATACAGAAAGGTACATGTTACTAGCAAATACATACACAACACAAAAATATATTTTCTTTATATCACACCACCAGTCATAAGTTTCCACTGCCTGGCCTATCTATTACCTCCTCTCAGTCTGTGTGATGGAGCTCTTCTCCAGCTTGGATGCAATGCTGGACAGCACCCTGCTGGCGTCATTAGCAAAGTCTAGGTCCCTGACCTCTGCCGCAGACACAGGAACAATGGCAAATGCTTCCTTGTCTTCCTTTACTGCAGCACAACCCACCTGGACAATACATGGAACAGAAACTCAGTAGAAAGGATGAAATAGATTTCTTACTGCAGCTATTTTTACTTGTTAACTGATTGCAGAAACGTTTAACATGCTCCACTTCTTGCTGTAACCTAGCTCCATAAGGAATCAGGTAGCTGAAAGATATTGTGTAGTGTAGTCATGGCAACCAACAGACCAATATTTTAGTATTAAGACTGATTTCACATGGGGCATGCTGCTGACCCAATTAGGCAGTGCAGGATGATCCCTGCTGTTCTTCCTGATCTCACCTTGTTCATGATGGGTCTGTCTTCATCCACATCAATGGGAATAGAAGTACTGTGGACCCATGTGTTGGTGCACAGGTGACGCAGACGGACAAATGATGACCTAGTTTTAGGAAAAACAAATAAGCTTTAGTAAAGGCAAAATAACATGGCACAGTAATGATGGATACTAGCAATAGGTGAAAAATATTATCATCACCATCATTAACTTAATTTAGCATTATTATTATTATTGTTATTATTATTATTATTATTATTATTATTATTATTATTATTATTATTATTATAATTACCTGGGTACCAGTGAGTCTCCTCTGGTCATTGTGGTGGGGTCCAGTTCAAAGATGGAAGCAATGTCATGTCCATGAGGCACAGAGACCAGTGTATACACAGGAGTGCTGGGACCACCACGCAGCTTGTTACGCATGGGGTCAGGGGTCGGATCATTGTCCACCTGAAAGACATAAGGCTCTAGTAAATTCTTAGTGTCACTGTATTATTACAGCAGGCTATATGAAGCAAGCCAGCTACAAAGATTATTCTAACATATCTATCTAATACCCAATGAGAGGGAGAAATATCGTGCCTTAATTTGGTCTTACCTCAGCTGCCAGGTACTGTCCAGTTGCTAGGTGTTTGAACCTACATGTGGTCTTACCTCAGCAGCCAGGTACTGTCCAGTTGCTAGGTGTTTGAACCTACACATGGTCTTACCTCAGCAGCCAGGTACTGTCCAGTTGCTAGGTGTTTGAACCTACATGTGGTCTTACCTCAGCAGCTAAGTACTGTCCAGTTGCTAGGTGTTTGAACCTACACGTGGTCTTACCTCAGCAGCCAGGTACTGTCCAGTTGCTAGGTGTTTGAACCTAAACAGGCTGTTCCAATGGCCAGCACCCCCTCTGCATGGATCATGTTGAACAACCTGGACAACATAAACCAGTTTTGAGCTGAGAATTCACGCATGAAAGAGACAGTTCACACATCTATTAGGTTCAAATTTTAAAGCTGCTATAAAAGTATATTAATAAGGATTCTCTAACAAAACTGAATCATTTATAGCTCATTAGTCAAAAATTTTAATAATAATTTTTTTTCATACCCAATGAACAGTTATTTGAAAAGAGTTTACAAGCAGTTTACAAGGTAATTTTTATTGCTGACAAAATCTGCCCTTTCTAATGACTAGGAGGGAATCTCTGGCAAGAAGAAAGTATCTGTGAGGGAGGAGGGGATATCTCCAGTTCCCACAGTTATCCCAGGTCAAAGTAATCCTTACCTCCACTTCCCACAGTTATCATAGGTTACCCTGACCCTTACCTCCACTTCCCACAGTGCCTTAGAACTAGTGGCAGCAGTGGCAGATGTTCTCCCTGTTGTCCTGAGGAACACATACTGTTTCTTCTTGTACTCATCACAGGTAAGAAACTTCTCCTGTTCAGCATGGAACAGACGCACCACATCCCCCTGGAAGTAGAGTAGTACATGTAAAACATAGCCTTGCCTTGTGCCAAAATCACAAACTGTTCATAAACTGTTTCTTAAGTTCTAATATATGACAAAATCTGGTCTTGCTTCTTCCTGTTCATAAAATGCTTTTTAAACTGTGCATAAAGACAACTAGCTCCCAATTACTTAACCAGCACATCTTCCTGGTTCATCCTATAGTCCATGAAGAGGACTAGCTCTCAATACTTACCCTTTTCAGCACATCTTCCTGGTTCATCCTATAGTCCATGAAAAGGACTAGCTCTCCATACTTACCCCTTTCAGCACATCTTTCTGGTTCATCCTACAGTCCATGAAGAGGACTAGCTCTCCATACTTACCCTTTTCAGCACATCTTCCTGGTTCATCCTATAGTCCATGAAAAGGACTAGCTCTCCATACTTACCCTTTTCAGCACATCTTTCTGGTTCATCCTATAGTCCATGAAGAGGACTAGCTCTCCATACTTACCCTTTTCAGCACATCTTCCTGGTTCATCCTATAGTCCATGAAGAGGACTAGCTCTCCATACTTACCCCTTTCAGCACATCTTCCTGGTTCTCCCTATAGTCCATGAAGAGGACAATCTTCCAGCTGGTGTTACAGTTGACAGAGTTGACCTCCTTACAGCCAGGGTTGTCAGGCAGGTCATAGTTACTGGCATGCAGGGGTTGGCCGGCATTCACTGGGTTCAGGACCACCTTGTCTCCCACTACAACCTGAATAAAACATAGCAGAAATTTTACAAATGTGAAGAAATAACTACTGTGTATTTTAATTCAATCTCATTCTCTTAATTTACCCTTGGAAAATCTAAAGAACATTTTGTATCTATTTTACACTGTAAATAAATATTATTTATCATTATTATAATAAAAGTTTGCTACATTTACATTCCCAGTCAATATTTCCTGGAATTTCCATTTGAATTTGGAACAATGCAGTTATCATATTTTAACAATATAATTGTTAAATATATAAAAGTATCCATTTATTTTTTAAAAGAAGTCAAAACTATTCATTGTTCCATTAATATTTCAACACCAATATCTCCATCCTATTACACACATTGTCTCCTGACGAACGGAGTTTGTAGAAGGGAACTATATAAAACCAAGATCCCTCATTTCCTGAGTTGTCCAGTGTGACCCTCATGGCATTCTTCTCCAGTAACGCAGGCAGACGCTTGTTCACTGTCAGGTACTTGTTGCTTTTAAGGTGGAGCAACTGAAGAGATTAATATATGACATTCATACACGTGTTTAAAGTGATCCAAACAGTTTCTTGCCAGAAATAAAAATATCATTTTCATCAAATTATCTCATTGAGTTAGACAGTTCTATGTCACTGGTATTACAAGTGTTCAAACATTTCTTAATATGTTCTGCACAGTCACCAAGATCTATCATCTTACCCAATCAGAAAGAAAAAAAACAGTAAAAACACCTATTACTTGCTCAACAAAGGAATTGGTCGAAATATAAAAAGAAAACAATTGCATAAGGAGAATAGATGTAACGGAAACAATTGTACAAAGAGAACTGCCACATGATCATCAATTTTGACGCTGCCCACTCACATGATAGGCAGCCACATGAGGTCAATTATTTTAGTGACTCCATGAGCTAGATATGTAATCAATAAGTTGTCATTGTGTCTTAATTACTTTCAATTATCTTTACATTGTGATAATGTAACAAAGATGTTATAGGTTTTGTGTTTCAGTCAGTAGTTGGCTAAGTTTCAACCTAAAGCTGGGATAACTGACTGAGGTCATTTTATTCCAGCTTGGGGTTAAACCTAGCCAATAGCAGACCTCAGCCACAGTCAATAATTGTATAAAGATGTCATAGAGGAGAACACCACCCCCTGCACAAGACTGGGGGCTCACCTGTACAACACTGCCATACTGAGCAATGTTGCCCAACAGTTTCTTGTTTTCAATTTCATTCTGTTTTTTCTCCAATTCTGCTGCATGCTGAAAAATTGAGTAAAAACATGCATCAACATTATATGCTGTGAAGTACAAATATCATCTTATTTTGACATTTAGAATAAGTCTTTGAGCC